ATGATCCATCTAGAAGTGTTCTTCTCATCTGCCAAAGGTTTTGGAGTCAATAGATCTGCAACAATGCCTTTTTTTGTTGTTGTTGTAAAAAGTCATTGTAAGCTAGTTTCTCTACAATCACTATTCATCTCCTGTAAGATAACCTCTTAGCAGTGTTATTAGAAACACAACAGAAGGTAAAGTGGAGAATAAATAACCCCATTTCTGATTTTAGAATTTGGGTGTTGAAGAGAGTGCTAAAAAATTAGTGACATCAATATATGGAATCACAAGCTTACTGGATTCACCAACACCTCCCAGTCAACTACTGTATATGTTTATGTCTACACTTCATCTGAGCTTCTGTCTGGTTTACTGGTATGATCATGTATATGGTTAATTTTAGTCCTTTGTTAAATGATGCCCAAGTGGATTGTCAGTTGCTGCTCAATACATATATGTTACACAGTTCTTCTTTTCCATCTGTAAAAGATCCCAAGGCTAATAAAAATAAGTGTGATCAAAATGACAGCTATTGATGAATATGCATGCCAGCACTTTTGGATTTTTTTTACTTTCCTCAGACTGCCCCTGGAAATAGTTGGAAGAATGTAGTTTGATCCCAAGCCAAAGAGAAGAAAAGCCATCCAGGAGGGGCTGTTTATCCACTGTACGTAACTTTCAAAAAAGTTTGTTTTTATCCTGTCTTTATTCTTTGCTGAACTCAAAATAAGGTATATATCTCTGTATTCTCTAAAATCAGAACTTTGTGAGGTGAGGTGGGCTTAAAAAGACCAAGTCATCCAACAAACCTTTCTACCTAAGAGAGGACTAGAACTCATTGCCTCCTAGTTTGTATCCCAGCATCTTAGCTACTACCCCAGACTGATTCTCAGTTGCCCAAATCCATTTTAGTGGGAGGAAATACCCATCTGCAGAAAGATGAAATTAAAATGCCATCCCAATTTTATAACAAGGGACTCATTTCTAGAAGGAGGAGCAAAATTCTTGGTATATAGAAGGGAAGATTAACAGGTCTCTACAAATATAAAATTTCCAACCCATTTGCAGAAAGAGGAACCAATTCAGTAATTCAGCTTTAAAAGAAATGTAAGGGGGACTCTGAAGGAAAAAAAATGCCTTTAATGGAGCAGTCTCAAAAGGATAACAGATTTCTCAGTGTGTAATCCCAACTACAGTGAGTGTTCTTTAGAATGTTTTTGACTTTCACCCAAAATCATGAAATAATACTAGAAGTCATGGAAGGAGTGAGAGACAAGGGGGACAAAACAATCCTTGCTTCATAAAACCAACATGAAAAGAAATAATACTTAGTCATTTGTTTCTTCTCAATAACAGAAAATATAACATGTCTTCTTTTACAAATTTCTCTCACATGTTCCTTAAAGAGAAAAAATAACTTTCCCCCAAACATTCCCATAACAAAACCAGTCAATCTCTTTCACATATTCATTTTTTTCCTGATATCTTCTATCCAACAGACATATTCTACCTTAATCCCACATTTTTTCTCACATACAAGATTTCACTCTCCCCCCTTGCCTTATTTGTCTCTTCCATGTTATATTTTAGGAAGTGCAATTCTGCAAATGGCAGAATATTAGCAGAATATTGGTATCCAAAGAGAGCTACTGTAGAATTCAGAGGGTGGATTTCAATAGAAAGGAGGAAAGGAGTGTCAATGGAAATTCTCAGTAATCCAGTTCATGGTTGTCCCAAAGGTGCTTTTTGAAGAGGCAACTGGACTTCCTTTGTTTTTCCTTGAAAACATTTCACTTCTCATCTAAGAAGCTACTTCAGAAATGAAAAAGCTTTTTGAATGAGAAGTGAAATGTCTTCAAGGGAAAACAAAGAAAGTACAGTTGCCTTTTCAAAAAGCAGGAGTATCAGAAAGAAGCCATTAAAATATGATTTGAACCAGTCATTCAAATGCTTTAGTGATGCATGAAAAATTTAGAAAGACATTTTTTGTAAACTGCGGAAACAAAACACTGGGAAAAAAAGTTTGATTTAAGAACTTTTGGGATGCTGAAGTCCAATTCACTTATACATATGTTCATTTCAAGTTGTTATCTTATTCTTATTATGGCTTCTTAAATTAAAATTGGCTAATTTTCTCTCCTGCTCTTATCCACAGGCAAAAGGGAATTTCCATGGTTTAAACTCTCCAGATATCATTGACTAACACCTCACTACTGAAGCCATTCTTCATGAAAATTTTATCATGCTAATTTTTAGTGCTCTGACTCATCCTGAAGCTAACCTGAAGATAATGTTCCTTTTTATCTACCCAACACACTGAGAACAGTATCAAGGTGTCTGAAGCTATGTAGGAGAAGAGAAAGAAGCCAGTAGATGGGGTTATTTTAGTTCCCATCAATGCAAGAAAGAGCTACTAAAATAATTCTGATCTATAGCTGCTCTAGAAAAGAATTATGGTACAGCTTCAGTTAGACTGTGACTGAGCCAGCAATATTCTTGGACTTGTAACATCAGAGAGCTTCAAATCCTTTTTGGAATCATCTTCAGTAGACACTAAACCTTTCCACACAACAACCCATCGTAGACAAAAAGTGCCCCATGTCCTTCATTTATCTCACACTATCCTAGGCATGCATTCCATATTCTGAGGAGATTGTAGAGTGGCAGAGATCAGTCTACAACATAAAAACAAGGGCAAGAGATCAGAATGCAAATATGCATTCTTCTGAAAATAAAGCAGAAGTATTTCTTTGTGTCAATCAAAGATCGGGCTTGATTTCAAGCAGGAGAAGGCCTGAGACTACCAGATTGCAATGAATGATAAACCAAGTCTGGGTAGACTATACTTGTTCACTAAAACACAAATCACAACTTTCAGCCTCTGCCCAAATTAAACTATCCCAAACCAAGGAAGCTTGAATAATCTTTCCTCATCTTCATTTTAATTTCACAAAAACTAAAGAGGTAGGTTAAGCTAAGCAACAGTGACTAGCTCAAGGTTACTTAGTGACTGACTGGACATCCACTCTAATCCTAATTTAACATTTTAATTATTTTTTATTTTATTTTGGCAGATCCAAGCTTCATCCTAAACAGCAGTTTAAGCCTCGTTCACAACATGCTACCCCATGAATCATTCCAGAGGGCTGGGTTTCTATGACACATCAAATGACCACACCAATTCACCTTACATGATAGATTATCAGATTTAAACAAGAATGAAGACAGATCTGGACAGCTGAGTCATTGGTTTTGAAACTAGGATTCATCAGACATTTATGTGAGGTTTTAAATACTGGTTTCCTCTCATTATTATCTGGTTGTGTTTTTATTTAAAGAAAGAAATGGGCAGTTCAATCAAAAAATGATGACAGGGAATCATAATTAAAGGCATTTTTTGTCCTTTCAGACACACACTGGACAATTACAGAAAGGAAATAGTAATGAGCTTATTAAGATAAGCTATTTAAGAGGAAATTAATGGACTATTCATTCCTGATCCCTTCACGGCATTTATCAGGAAGCAATCAGACAGACTGAAGTTAAACAAGGAAGTTTTAATTGATGTTAATGAGTATCTCTCCAGTCTCAAACTTTCTTGAGTAAAGAAGAACCTTGGCCAATGATAACGTAGCACTTTGCTAAATACTTAAGATAGTTTTAATTCTGCTCCACTCTTAATATTGGAAAGTCATTGGCCCAAAGATGAAAGGAGTTCTGCATATCTTTCTAACTCTAAAGCATTATTCTGGAGTCCCCACAGTCAAGTTTGAAAACTTCTCTATTTCTTTTAGCAAATTAGGTCTTCTATTGCTCCCTCAAGGTTTTGCATTAAGAAATACAGAAATGGAAAATGTAATAACCCGCCAGCACTTCCCAAAAGGAAGGGGTGAAAATGGAGGTCATTAGCCCTTGATTTGAGTTTGGGAAGAGGAAAGGAGGAACGCAGGATGGGGAAGGAACGAATGAGGCAGGAATGAGCCTAGATGGCTTTAGACCGGAGATGGGGAATGGTGGCCCTTTTATAACTAATGGATTTCAACTCCCAGAATTCCTGGGCCAGGAATTCTGAGAGTTGAAGTCCATAAGTCATGAAGCAGCCATCGTTCCCCACGTCTGCTTTAAACGATAGCAAGCTCATAATCTGGTTCCTCTGAGGAAGGTAAATTAAAGCACCCCATGTTATAGGCTGATCCTGCTATATGTACAAAATCCATCAGGGAAGGAGGTGGTGGGTGGAAAAATAGGGATCACCAATGTAGATTATTCCAAAACAGACATGGTTCCCTGACCTTTTACAAGTTACAAGAGACAGCATTAAAATATTATCAGAAATTGAAGACATGTTAGTGCAGATCATAAAGTGATAAAAATAAAGCCTTGAAAGAAGACAAACAAAATCAATTTACATTTGAGAAATGAATGGACTATGAAATAATGACCTTTTCCAGGCCTTCTGGATAGCCTTTGCTTCAAATCCTGACAAGGTTTTGGACTTATTAATTTCGGACAGGGTTTTTTTTCAGCAAAATTGTTTTTCCACCAAAACTACAACGTCAATGGTTTAGGAGAGTACAAGAATAAATATACATTCAATATATCAAAGTTGGTTTCCTCTCCCCCACTTGGTTTGGCAGTCTTAATCAAGACTAAGAAAAATACAGGCAGTCCTTGACTTACGATCACAACCAAGTCCAAAATTTCAGTTGCTAAGCAAGGCGGTTGTTAAGTGAGTTTTGCTCCATTTTTGTCATAGTTCTTGAGCGAATTATTTTAAATGAATCATGAGGTTGTTAAGCAAATCTGGCTTCCCCCATTGACTTTGCTTGTCGGAAGCCTGTTGGGGAGATTACAAATTGCGATCGCATGATCCTGGGATAGTGCAGCAGTCGTAAATACAAGCCAGTTGCCAAGTGCCCCATGACCATTGGTCACATGACCATGGGGATGCTGCAACATTCAACAGCCCTAAGTGTGAAAACTGGTCATGAGTCATTTTTTTCAGTGCCATTGTAATTTCAAAAAGGTCACTCTACTAATAGCTGTAAGTCAAGGACTAGCTATAATGGTTGGGGTGGGGGGAGGAAATTACATCAAAAAACCATTCTCCCTTATACCAGACTTATACACTTAAAAATATTTTCAAAGATTTTAAAGAAGCCATGTTTGTACTGCACACTCAATTCCTTTCACAAAAGTGGGGAAATGAGAAGATTTAAATGATGGTTGCATACACCATAACATTACATCAACATGTAGCATGTAGCATAAGGAAAAGACAACTAATGTTCCCTCGTCTGTTCCATTCTTTCTATCTTTTTCTTCCTTTGGCAAAGCAAATGACTTACTTTCTCTGCTTTGTATATAATCATCTAATTTGGCTACTCTTGATTTAGGTGTGATCTATGGCCACTATCATAGTTAACAATTAAGCCTGAATTTAGTATGCCGTCTAAGCATTAAACTCTAGTGAGTGAAAATATGAGTAAACTATGATCTGAAGTTGGATTGTTTGCAATGAACTCAATAGGAACCACAGTTTGTCAGTCTGCTTTGAAAATATGGCAAACAGTGGCTAATCTAAAACCGAAGCAAACAAATCTGGGATTATTATACCAGCTGTACTGAAGGGAATGAATGGGACTGGAGAGGTTGATAATTATAGAGCCATGTAAGCTCATATTGCTGAAATTTGGTTCAGTGTCACATCTGAAGTAGCCCATATTTTTAATATGGCAAAGAGTAATTCCCAACACTGGACAGTAATCAACCTACAAATCCTTGTATATCTTTCTCCTGCATTAGAAATACATATGAGAAGTACAATGATGATTCAACTATTATTTATAACTCAGATCTCAATGTCTGCCCAAGATCTGTTTAAGAAAAGCCTGAATATGAATGTTTAAACTAATGAAAGTAGTAGTGGCTAAAAGCAAAATTTCAACCAAGCAAGCATTCTTTTATCAAAATTACCCACAAAATAATATATATATATATATATATTCCAAAGGTCTAATTTAATGTTGGGGGAGGGATTTTATTTTTTAAAAATCATTTTTATCTTCCACGTTTTAACTTTTAAAGAAATACCGTGACCCACTGGATATTTGCCATACTTTTTACGTCTTTGCTTAAAAAAAGAACAGACCATTCAGAAAATGTAATGTGGAAAGGATTTTTTAAAGCATCCTGAGCATCACAGAGGATGCACAGTTGGAGAGAAAGCAGGTAGGGTTAGGATGAAGTTTATTTGTAATGATTGCATTTGAAATATCAGAGTTTTTTTTTAAAAAAAACGCACTCACAAATTCAATATTGATGGATATCCCCTGTAATGGGAAGGTAAATAAAAAGCACTAGAAAAATCGATGGAATGCAAGCAATATATAATAAGATATGTACAGCAGAATGGGTGGACTTGATTGTGCCCTACATCTTTATCATCAGTTATGGACACGTTATAACACAAGGATAGAATGAGAGTGGCAAAGGGCTGTGTATTATATAATACTCCAGTTCCTCCACCTTTAGCACTGACCAGACTTGTTACTGGAGGCAACAGGATAAGATGGCCACCATTCCCTTCTTGCAGCATATCTGAAAGAAAGAGAAAGAGGTGGAAAGGGGTCTCATCTATTCACTTTACCACTGTATGAGCAAAGTGATGGTTAGATCATCAGAAGATCATAATAGCCTTCATCTGTACACCACTAAGGGCAGGTTGTCTCCAACAACTAGATCCCAGTTGTTAACCAGCCCCAAAACATGAAGCCTCATAGAAATGGCTTCATGCAAAGTGGATGAGCTGAGAAACAGTCAGCAATGTCAACAATGAGGAGTGTGGTGTACAGTGATGAAATCACCAAAAGTCAACATCGTTGCCAAGTCTGGCTACTTTGAAATCTGTAGCTATTGGCTGAATCCATTGTGCTGAAATCATCAAGATGTCACAGGCACAGGAATCTTGATAGCATTCTTAGTTATCAAGATTGGCAGTACTATCATGAAATGTTGACATGGTCTCTTCCAACATCAACATGACTGATTTTGCCCATCACCATACAGGACCTACATACTGTAACTGACTTTATCAGTCCATGTAATATCCTACAGTATTCTATCACAACCAGTACAGTAACAAACATCTTTCTCCAATAATGGCATCTACCACTGACAAGTCAGTGTTGATGTCAACAATAGTCCACAGTGTTGATACCATCAGAAATTGATGGTGAGGGCATTAAAGGTCAACAAGACCCACAGCGCTTATATGAACTGCAGCTGACAGAATCCACAGTGTTGACACCATTGATGGTGTCGATGGTGTCACTTGGTCAATTGAGCATCCACTAAGATTGGCAAGATTCACAGCGCTTAGAGTTGTAAGAGGCAAAGGGTGCCAACCTCATAAATCCACAAGTGATGTCTTTAGTCTTCAAAAATCTGAGACAAGGCCCAGAGCAATGATGCCATCAAATGTTGATGGACAAAATTAGTATTGTAATCAAAGGTTGATGGGGGCCTAGTAACTGATCTTATGCAAAGCTATCTTCACGTCTTTGGAAGGATCCATAGGCCTGATCACTAAAAATCAATTCAGCCTTTATGTCACTAAACCTGGACAGTAATGTCAACAGACATAGGAAGTGATAGTAGCAGCATTAATTGTATGAACCCAACTAATTTTGACATCTTCAGAAATTTACTAATACTGCATAATTGATGTCTTCTATGAAACCAAGCAGGCCTTGATATACTCACTTCTTATCATGAGCTGTAATCAGCCAATATCATCATCAAAGATTGTCAGGACCTGGCAGGTCAAATGGACCCAATCAAAAATCAGTGAAGACCGTGATAGTGCCATTAGCAAAGACCAGGCTAGGACTTGACATCAACCGAGATGGAGGCCACAAGACTAAAAATAAGGGAGGGAACCCCAAGAAAAAGATAGTGAGCACCAAATAAAGGGTGGGGTGGATCAGAAAAAGGGAGAGAAATATGGCCTTGGAAAGTCCAATCAACCTGAGTTGGGGAAAAGGGACAACTCACACCGTGACCTCATTCTTACTGCCAGTAGGAAGGTGTTGGGTTGGGTGGTGCCCCGGGATGAATTGGACTTGATCAATGGTACTTTGCCTCTTGGATGCAAACCCTTGGCGCCGGGTGGCGGCTGCCTGGTTACTACTACTGCTAGTCTCCCAAGGAGCAGATGCCTTGGGAGAATTGTTGGAGGTGGGATGAGAGTTTTTCATCATCATGTGATGGTGGTCAAGCATGGGGGTGCTGCTGGCACAGACATTGGTCTGAGAAACAGCCTTCTGATGGCCCAGGTGCATCTCCTGGAAGGGACCCGTGTGTTGATGGAGACGCTCTGGAGAAAGCAAGTGCTCCTGAGAATGCAAATTTTCCCGGGAGAGAAGGCGCTCGTGAGATATGACACGCTCTCTTGGAATGGTGTAGTCGTAATGTGATGGGCGGTAGCTTCCCACTCCATTTCCACCGTCTGAAAGGATGTGTTCCTGTGACATGACCCGTCGCGGATTGTGTGACTTCTCAGAATAGCTATCCCTATCGTAGTTCATTTTCATGGCATGTAAGGGCAGCGTCCCTCGAGTCAACTCAGCAAGATGCCTCCGCTTGGCATAGAATTCATCCAAGTCCTTCTCCGCTGCTGAGAAACATGGAGAAAAAAGTGAAATGTCACTGGATGATGGAGAGATGGAAAGGTGAGATTTAAAACAGGAGAAAGGAACATTAGAGACATAGATGGATGGTTATGCAAATGGTTTGCACTAAATGTTTGGTGCAGAACTGCCATGCCTTCCACTTTAAAGAGCACAACACAACATCCTGTTAACGACTGTGTTCCTTCAGTGTTTCTATTCTTTTTCAGATTATAACAAGATTGCCTTCTTTCAGAAGGAACAATTCCAAAGGTATTGATCCCCTTGGGAGTCTGTCATGTCTTCTGGGCTGAAAGTCCCACTTGGCTTTAAATGCTATGCCAGAAAGCAATGGTTAGATCAAATGTGGATTTGATTTCATTTTATGGTAAAATAAAATGAAAATGAAATCATTTTATAATTTATGTTTTCCATCTTATTAACTGCACTTTGATAAGTTGCTGGGGATGTTTGGGAAATGAATCTAAGATTTTTGGGAATTACTTGTAGTTCTGGAGCCTTAAATTGTATTCCGGTACTTTAAAACTATTCCTCCATCCTATAGCTTAGGTCTAAAATGGATCATACTAGCTGGCCACATTAAATGTGATTGAAATGCAGTATGTATTTATCTACTGGATTCTTCCATTGATGTAGAAAAATCAGTAAACTAATAGCAATCTAGTGAGATTGAAATCTTTGAAGGATTTACTGCATGTTCTCCAATTGACTCATTCTCATATATCGGTAGCAACAGCACTCAGACTTATATACCTCTTCACAGTGCTTTGCAGCCCTTTCTAAGTGGTTTACAGAGTCAGCATGTTGCCCCCAACAATCTGGGTCCTCATTTTACTGATCTTGAAACGATGGAAGGCTGAGTCAACCTTGAGCCTGGTGAGATTTGAACTGCAGTAGCCTGCAGTACTGCACTCTAACTACTGAGTGCCACTCCGGTAGGTCAACAGTTGTAAGTTAACCGGTGGCAGTTCAGTGCTTTCTTTGAAACATCCCATAGTACTCTGGAGTACCAAATGTAAGTTTTGCAGGGCACTAATAGAAAGTTAAAACAGGAGCCGAGGTGGCGCAGTGGTTAGGGTGCAGTACTGCAGGCCACTTCAGCTGACTGTTATCTGCAGTTCAGCGGTTCAAATCTCACCGGCTCAAGGTTGACTCAGCCTTCCGTCCTTCCGAGGTGGGTAAAATGAGGACCCAGATTGTTGGGGGCAACAGGCTGACTCTGTAAACCACTTAGAAAGGGCTGCAAAGCACTGAGAAGTGGTATATAAGTTAAGTGTTATTGCTGATGCTACTAACAAGCAACAGAAATTTTGGCCTCTTTTGAGGTTGTAAGACAAGGACTTAACCTGTAGTGCAGAAAAAAAGTTTTTAACTGCTTTAACTCACAGTTTTCAGAATACAGT